CTGCAGCTGTTTTAAAAAAAATCAGCTTATTCGTGCGAAAAATTCTCGTCGGAAACGGCAAAAATTCTCGCCGCGCTTTGGCAGCGCCAGTTAAAATTAACGTCACGTGCGGTTTTAATCGCGCGTTTTAAGCCACATTTAAAAGAAACACGGCCTACAAGTAACTTGATTTTGATCGCGCTGTCGTGATCATCGTGGAACTATCAGTAGTTCGCAAAGATATCCGGTGAAGGAATCAATATCTTGAGCACCGTTCCCGTGGCATCACCCACAAGCGACAGCTGGTACGTATATAAAAATTTGATAACATTTTCTTTCGCCTTACCCGTGATGGTCTCAGCGTCGCGCGTACTAACGGGAGTGACTGGCTTGCTCTTCGGTGAACTTAACGCCTGGAGAGTCGCCCTTGCCGTGGGTGAGATTTTCAGGGAGGCGGTGGATGGTCGGATGGGGCCTTTGGGCCGCTTTGGACCCTCATCTTCCACGGTGGCCAGCTTGGACGCTGTAGCGAAGAGCGATGTCGCCTCGCTTTCCTGAAATGCAACCTTTATATTTAGCATTTTCGCGACCGGGTTAATATTTTAGAGTCTATATTTTAAAGTCTATTTAGGTCAACGCACATGAGACTCGAGAAATTACTTTTGCATTTATATAATATTTTCTATTAAAACTACTTTCTTTAAAACTACTTTCTTTAAACTACTTTCAAAAAGCATACAAATATTAGCTGTTGAAAGAAAGAAGATTCTGCATGATATTTACTGCTTAAACGCTCGAAATAAACTTTTTGATATATCTAATCCGAATGAATTCGTAATTACGATGTAACGTTTTTTCCAACATTGATTTTTTTTAAATTTCGGTCAATTATGTATATATATTGTAGATCCGTATATAGTTCAGAGAAACGCGGAAAGCAGGTTTTTTTATGCGCGTGTCATCGCCAGAACAAACGCAAAGTGTCTTTGAAGGTGAAGTCTCACGTTCCCCTAAATACTCATCGAGGGGGGACCGGTATTTAAACCGGCCGTTGCGCTTATTTAGACTGGTAGCGCTCCGGCGGACACGTTCATTTTGCTCATCTTCCGGTTCTAGTTTATTTCAGGACACTGACTCGAGACTTGAGACACAGACATTTTGACTGTTTTTGCAAACGCATATAGAGTCTACTGTTATCCTCGTTACGCCTCCTTCTCGCAAACAGACGTCGCTGATTTTTATCAAATGTCGATACTAATTCGCGAATTAAATATACGAAGTAACAATCCCTTATAAAATCTAAAGCTACGATCCTGCTGGTGACGCAAACTACTCAATACTCAATATTAAACTCATTCAACAAATCAATTAAGGGAGAGTTTCCGGCCGTAAAATTAGCCCTTGTTTCATGAATTTTTTTAAGGAAATCTATTACAGTAAAACGCGGATTTTTGCATAAACTTATATATTACTTGAATAGCAAAAAAATATTTTTTATTTCTATAAAAATGTATTTTAATGCCTCCAAGTGGCGATTGAAAGTGGCATGTTTTTCGAGCTGATTATCTTAATTCGTTTTTTCGTAATTACTTCCGTCACTTCGAAAAATATGCCACATTCAATCACCACTTGAAGGCATTAAAATACATTTTTATATAAATAATTTTTTTTGCTGTTCAAATAATACATAAGTTTATGCAAAAACCCGCGCTTTACTGTATATAATAGATTTCCTTAAAAAAATTCATGAAACAAGGGCAAATTTTACGATCGACAAAGGTGAAAACCACCTTAATTTTGTGTGCACAAGCGCACGTAACAAACCCTCGATATTTCGTTCATTCTGATTCCCATATGGCTCCTTTCATTGTCGTCGATATCACATATCAATGCGAGCGAGATAAGACGACAAGAACCGCACATTTACACGTCATATTAATCGTCGATCACTACGTTTATACACGCGCTAACACGTATACCGTTAAGAGTCGACACATCCGCAAACTTTAATTTTCGCGTACCGCCTCAATTTGTTAGGGTAGGACAGCACGAGCAGAAATATCTAGGCTAAACGGTTACGTAAAATTTTCGGACGATATTTATGAGCAAACCTCAACGTCACAGTCGAGGCGGTGCATTGCAGCTGCGTGACCGGAGGTGGTCCGAGACGCGTTTTGCACATCTCTTTCGACGCGCGCCAGTCAAGGCTCGTTAGCGTTTCGCCGTCAATTTCACTTTCCGATCTTCTGCTCGACGGGCTACGCAAAGCGGCGCAAGGTTATGACAAACAATACTATATTCTAATAATGCCGTGCATAACGCTATACGCGAGGAGAACGGAACGCGAAAATGTCATAAGACAGATAATCGATCTCCAGTGGTATTCTCGACAATTCTGGCATTTTTATAGAAATTAATGTGAAGCAACGAACGATCGAACGAGAGCTTTGTGCTAATGCACGATGCGTAAAAGGCACGAAATAGGAAAAAAGATAAAAATTGACCGAATACTTATAAATATAAATGCGATATAAAAAATCGATTATCTTCCAACGGTGAGTTTAACCGATAACAATCGCGTTTTAATTAATAAAAATAAGATTCTCGTCGCGCGCCCCGATTAGACTAAAAGAAAGAAATTTGAGAAGTAAAATAGAATCGGTAAAAGGTCCAAAAGAATTGAAAATTCAACGGTAAATTATTTCAAGCACTTCAATATCTATCCTCGGGGCGAACATCAAAAGGCTAATTCGTTAAGTAATGGCAAATAAAAAGCCCTTGTTAACTTCACAAAGTGGTCACGAACGTATCTCTGTTTATCTCAAGTCTAAACCGATCGATTATATATGAACATCGATCGCACGCCGTATTCGTACGGACGAATTCGAGATAATGTTGCGTTACTATAAGCTCAAATGTGTTTCGCAAATTGAGGAAATCTCCCTGATTGTGAGACAGCTGGCAACTCTCGCGGAGTGGGAGAAACCGGTTCGCGCTCATCGTTTGTCATTTCGGCATACGGGACTAAACGAGAATGTCATATTCGTTATTACCGCGCGCGCGTAATGAGTAAGCGGCTGCGACATCGAGTAAAGCAATCGTGACTTCACCCTTAGTTCGTATATAGCGAGACACGTCGTTTCATCAGACACGACATATCTCACAGAAATGCAGAAAACCAATTAATATAATTTTACATTTTACAAGATTTGAAAATTTTACAGCGTCTCACGCAATTCACGCAATCCGCGCGATTCGCGATGCGATGCGCGGGGACGTCAGCCCCTGATAATATCTGGCCGTTTCTCGTTCGCGAGTCGCTCTAATCGCTCGCGTCTTTTCCGTTTCGAATTCTCCTCGCGTTCTCTTTCACGCAACTTACGAATGAGATCGGGAAAACGGGGGACGGCGGCGCCTCCGCGGGCCGTTGAGCCATCGTCGCCGTGCGCACGTGTCGCACCAGGGATCCATCGTGCAGGGAGAGATCCGACGCGGCGCCGCCGGCGTCCCTCTCGCATCCGTTGCCCTGCGACTTGAAGACGCGCCGCGCCGAATTGCGGCGCGCCTCCGCGAACGCGATTCCTCGCAGCAGCATCGCGCGACGTCAAGTCGATGTCAAGTCGACGATCGAAAAAAAGGAAAGAAAGAAAGAAAAAAAGACGAAGAAGATGCTTTATCGCACTCGGCAAACAGACAACTGCGTTCTCGTCAATCCTCGGCGATAAAGAGGAACACTGGCTGATGCGCGCGCGAAACGCCTCCGATTGTGTGCCGCTGATGCAATTTGAACATCAAGATTCGCGCGACGCGAATCGATCGACGGGATCATCCGCGGTTGAGACGAGTCCGGCAACTCCGTCAGATTTGCAACTCGCGCGACGTGCGGAGAAATTTGTTGCACGAATACGATTCGACGCGCAAAAAAAAAACCGTGCACTCGACTTCGATCCTTCGCTCGGATAACTCGATCAGTTCTGCAGGATCCAATCGATATGAAAGAGCAATACGAGTTTTATCTACGGATACTCTTGGCTGATAACACGCGCGGTACAATCTCGTTTCAAAATGCTCGCTTGGCAGGCGTGTTTTGCATATTTTGGGACAAAAGCGCGAGAGAGCGAGAGATAGATTGAAAAAAATTGCATAACATGCCAAATATAATGGAGTGAAATGCTATGAGAGTCTTTATTTTTTTTACTTAGAAATGTTACGCAGACTATTTTGAAACACAAAGATCGCGCGACATTAAATTCTTGAGAAACGCGCACCGTCGATTGCGCGAATTTGCACACGGATTGCGACAATCACCAGGACGAAGAATTATTGTCTGTCAGAACTGTTAATCGTTAATCAAAGACGATGTCGAATAATTTTTGTACCGGCTGATACCAGTCTCATTAGCTTTTTCTCATTCATCATCATATATTGATCTATACTATGTTAAGTTGCACGCTCATTTTTTCTCATAAAACTCCTGCATGCAATTATACAACGCGATAATTACAGATTAAGCGATTTTGTACACACACGATCTCCTAATTATGTATACTGCACATTGCGTATGCATACCGTAATTTACATGCTCGGTCCTCAACCCAAGCGGCCGAGTGTCTTATTTATTGAGAATTATGCGGGGAATGGGTTTCTTAAAGTAACTTTCATTACCAAGATCGTCTTTATGTGAAGATTTTAAAGCCTCGTCATTATCGCGAACGAGTCTTATTTAATTTATGCTGCACGTGGAAGATGGTTTTTGTACGTGACAACATATATGTAACACTCGATCAAGAAATGTGATGTAACGCGCTATAAACATAGCAATTGAGATAAAAAAAAACACCGGTGTTCATTATACACTTATCCAACGTTCCTCTATGTTCATAATTTCTTATTTAAAGATTCATCGCAATTTTACACATATATGATACGTAGAAAAAAAATGGAGATAAATATAATTTATGTATAAAACATGATAAGACAAAGATTATAATTTAGACGCTGATTGATATGATTTTTATACGCTCGATAAGTGTACATTTTTAAATATGTATAATAAACGCTAAAATATTCATCCGCCAAAATGTTTTGTACCCGTTCAGAACGAATTGCGGGAACCGCGAGCTGTGCGTCTCGCATCACTCGCGGGACAAGGGGCGAGCCGACTTCAATCGCGGAGCGATCCCCGAAGGAGTGGACATCGCGTTAACAGTGCCGACATTCATTTGGAATCGCAACGCTTTCCGCACGGACTGTACGTCGCTAAGTCCGTCCTCCGACTCCTACCAAGATTAAGGTAATGCTTCGGCTGATATGATACAATAGTTATGTAGTCTTTTCAGTGCTCTATGGTGCTTCCGCTGGATGGCCGCGACATTCACGAAGCCTTAGAATAATATTTGGAGTTCGCAGGGAAAGAAAGGTACGGATCCCATCATCCCTTGTCACATGATTCGCACGTGCTTAACATTACTCATTCATGATGGAGATTAGATTAAATATGTCATCTCTCCGGGAAAGCCAGAAACGAAGAAAACGTCGCATCTCTGAGAATCAGAAATCTTATACTAAGACAATGTGGCTACTATTGGCTCTGTTTGCATTATAGTTTACTTTTCCAAGCAATCTTATATATAAATCCTACCACTAGAAGTACCTTGCGACATTAAACTTATATAAAGATCAATTCAATTTAAAATATCTAAAGAAATCACACACAAGATATAGATATCTTTTGCAACAGAAGCTTAAATCAAAGTGCTCACCGTAGCGTAAGATGAAATTTTTGGTTTCCACTATGGGAAACCACCACAATCACCAATGGAAGAAGTCGTGCAGAGACTGAAACAATAAAAAGGGCATACGATTAGTGCGATTGAAAATTTACAGTAAAGCTATTAACATTTATTAATCTCTATGTTTCGTTATATTAAAGAAATCACCGTAGGATCGGCTAGATATGCAATTTTTATCATGATTGCGTTTTATCATCCTTTGTCTACTATAATTGCATCGGTCGCTTTTTTTTTCATAAAATTGCTATTCACTGTCATGTCATTCTCCGTGTCCTACTTGGCAAAGATCTGTACTTTGTTCAGACGATAATTTCTATGAGAAATAATCATTGTGACGAGGTGTCTGAAGCGAGGTAGGTTTTTTTTTTTGCAACGACAGAATCAATATAGTTATATAAATCGTAACCGAATAGAAATTGTTCATCGTCATCGAGCAATGTCTATAGAAATTTTGGAGGGGAAAAAAAATAAAGCCAAGTGTACGGTGGAGAGACGGAGGGGAGGGAAGTTTATCTCTCTCTCTCTCCCTCTTTTTAGGTTATAAAGGACAATGTATCGCGGAGTGAGATACCCGGTGCAAAGTACAAGGTGCGCGTGATTACGACAAGAGAATACTTCAACTGTCCCCGTGTACACCTGTTCTCGCCCCCTCCCCTACCCGCGCACCTCATCACAAGCGGATGCACGATAAAGCCCGCGAGCGCGATTCGGGCGGCCGAGTCGAGGACGGGTCGAAGGATCAGATCAGCTGTTGACGTCGCGGAATCGGCGGCGAGGCGTGCGTCGAACTGCTGCTGCGTATACGAGGATGCCGAATACCTCGCGGATGCGCGAACGCGACGGAGGCGGAGGGGAAGGTTTTTTTTCGTATGAACGGGCCGAACGTGACCGTGCTCCTTTAATGTATCGATTGAACATTTTCCCGCAGTAACGCTCTCTCAGGCGAGCTCAGGCGGACGGAATTAGGTTAAAGGACGGCCTGACGAGGAGACGGGGGATTCGATCGCTTACCGTGCGTCGATGTCCGCCGCACATTTTCTTGCTCTCGAGGAGAAAAAAATAAAGCAGAGAGAGAGATGTACGTGGTGCGTCGACGACGCGCTACGTCGCGGCGTGCACGTTCACGTCACTGACATCTCTCCGTGACAAGCACCGGGACACGGGCGACACCGCAAACACTCCCGCGCGTCGCTTCGCGTTCGCGAGAGCAGGAGACCGCGAGCGACGTGAACCGCTCTCACTGCGAGTCACGAGACGAACGGGTTGAGGGACGCGCGCGGACGAACGAGCGAGCGAGCGAGCCGTGAGGCGCCGGGCCGTGGCCGCGCGGCGTCACGGCAGACCGAAGTCGCGAGAGCACCACGTTATAAATATAGAACAGCGAAATTGTACGGCCGACGACGACGGGATCCGCGAGCGCCTCGCGGGATGCGCACACGACCGAGCGAGCGGTACACACACTCGCGGCGCCGCGCCGCCGCGCCGTTTCGCCGTATCGCCTTCTGTCCGAAGTGACTGAAGTTAGGCGCTTTTACCAAACGCATCGTATACCTTGATTCCCTGTGCATCGTGACCGTAGATTTCTATAGACGTAGGGCTCGTAATCGAGAGGAATAAGAAACCGTCAGGGAATCCGAACGTGAGGAAGTAGGAAAAGTCAGGGGCAGACAAATGCGATTTTTTCTTGTCCTATTCTTAATTCTGGACTTTCTCCTTAATCTTTCTTATGTTCAATTCCCAGCTGTTTCTTATTTCTCTAGCTCTCATTAATTGTGTCTGCAGAGCCCATAGACTGCGCGTTCCTGTAGAAGGCGCGAAAGTAGCTTTTAGTATAAGAGATAGGAGGATTGATAGTGAGTCAGATATACTTTATCTGATTGTAAAATTGATAAGGAGACAGAGGAGAACCAGCTGATTCCTTGTTTTTACAAGTAGATGCTTATTATCTTTCTCTCTCACAAACACTTATATTACTCTTATATATTTTTCTTATATCATTTCTATTCAACATATTTATATTATATATACGCGATGAAGGCTACGATCCATTTGATGCTACAAATGCTTCGGAATATTATTTGATTAGTCAATTAGTATAAAATTCTTTCTTCTGATTGATCAATCAAATGTTTCGAAGCTATTTGTAGTATCAAGTAGACCGCACCCGCGCGCAGGAAGAGCCACACATATCTCCGTCCATCGATGTCAACTCACGTATATATGAATCACACAGTCCTATCTATATAAATCTATGATCGTAGCTCAAAGTACACTGTGTATATGGTATGTGCGTGTGTGTGTGTGAGTGAGTGACTGGTCATATAACGGACGTGCAAAAGAATGCAAAAAGCAGTACAATTAGAAAAATAAGTAATAATAATGAAAGATAAATAAATAATAATATTACCCAACTTAAATCAGTTAAATTGGATATTAGAAAGATAATTTTAGATTTTTTAGTTACAGTTTTTTTACAATATACACAAATCTCTAAATATGATATGCGTTCGACCTAAAAATGCCTCACTTCAGACATGAAAATATGAATGTAGCACAAATATGAATATTAATTAATTCACATCGTTCAATCAAATATCTGCTAATAATGATTTTTATAACATGACAATATTTTTTTGGAAATTATTTTACTTTCAATTTGATATCTTGGAAAAATATTTCAAATGTTTACTGATGGTGTTTACTCATTCTAAACTACATATAATAATTCTTTTCAAGATGTACTATATATACATACATATATATACATGTTTATACAGATCTTTGTTAGTAAAAGAGAAAAGCGCCATTTATTCTTTTAGCAAATCGAAATGCTTTTCTTTGCTCCTGTCTCGCGATTATTATCTTCAATTAAATTTTTCGTCGATATATATATATGTTATATTCGCGTTGCATCTAATATCATCACATCCGATAAGGTGTTGTTTCCACAACGTGGCAGCCATATTTCCCCGTCGCACGCATACCTACAAGCGGGCATTTGTAATTACGCAACACGCATGCACGTGTGTACTCGCAGCGGGATCGAAGCAGCATTGTATTGCATGTAGCTTATTATTTCCGAAAATTCGATACCCGTTTCGTCTCTCCGCCGTCAGTTTCGACAGTAGGCGCGAGAGCGCGCGTCGTCAACGGCGCATGCGCCGTACAGCTCCGAACGTTTGGTTACAACGTCCTAGGAACAATTCGTTCCGCGTTCACGACGCCCGCTTGCCGCCCGTAAATTTGAAACGGGACATCGATGTCGATTCAAAATTTTTCCAAGTTAAATTTAACTTTCAACGCGTAACGAAAATAAAGTGCGCCAGATTTTTCTGTCAATTTCCATTCTTATGTATAGACATAAAGATTGTTCTACGTGTGTAAACAATATTAAAATTATGTCACTTTTATTTTATGTTTTATAATCGAACGGACACGCGGTATATTTATAAAGACTATCCCTATCTTAAAATATATTTTGCCATTCAAGAAATTTAATTGTTTATAAATTAGAGAATTTAGGATTGATAATAGAGATGCAGTGTCTTAGACAAATCCACGTTCCACATGTTCGATAACGCTAATTACAATTTTCAAAACTTGTGCACTCTTCGCGATATAATTGATGCGAAAGAATGTTTTTCAGTATCGTTTGAATTGACAAAGAATATTTATTTAGGCCTATTAAAATTTGTTAAATTGTACAAAGTGAACATTTCGTGGCGAAAAAGTATGCGAAATAATTTTTTACAAAGCGCCTCGCCGGTTGCGCAAGATTCGATTGTGACAAAAATAATGCACGCAAAGCAGTACCGAGTCGCGCCGTTCGCTCGCGCTTTTCGCGAGGCGCGACCGCCGTTCGCCGCCTAGAGAATTTTTCTGCCCGACGGCTGGCAACCTGGATATCGATTGTCATTATTTATATCGTACGTTTCCTCTTCAGTCATCGATTCACTTTTTACATTTTACATTTTTACAGTAATGAGAGAGTTAAGTTTTTCCCACGGGCGTATGGTACTCTAAGTTAGCCCCCACATGTGTGATCATAGGTGTTGTTGAAGGGGAGTCGAGTGTGTGAAGAGAATGACGGATAGCCAGCAGCAGTTTTGCTTGCGGTGGAATAACTTTCAGGCGAACATCACGAGCCAGTTCGAGGCGCTGCGAGATGACGAGGACTTCGTCGACGTTACCTTCGCGTGCGACGGCAGGCGACTCCAGGCGCACAAGGTCGTCCTTTCCGCGTGCAGCCCTTACTTCAAGGAGTTGTTCAAGGTTAGAAAACCATTTTCTTCCCGCTCCCCACCTTAGACGTATCCCGCCCCTCTTCCTCCGCCGCCCATCCTTCCCCCCCGCCATCCTGCCTCCCCCTTCGTCCTCTGGCGGCAGCCGCCCTCCTCCCTCCCGCTCCTCCCCCTGCCGCCCGACGCTTCGCCTCTCTCCCCCTTTCCCCGCTCTCGCCCGGCGTCTCGTCGCCCCTCTCCACTCTTTCCCCTCCCTCCGCTTCACCCCCTGCCGCACCGCGGAGCGCGCGATCGCGCTCGTGTGTGCACGCTATTGGACGCGTGTGCGTGTGGATATGTGCACGTAACATGCATTTCCCTCGCGTTTCATCTCGCGATGAATAATTCCAAAATTACACAATACCTATTTATGCGACGGCCTCTCTTACGCGCGTCTTATCTTTTTCGTCGAGCCGTGGGCTCATTTCAAAGCGAGGCGTACTCGTGCAGCTCGCGGTTACGTCACGACGTGCATCTACTTTTTGGGGCCCTCCGCCCGCGCTTCTCCTATCCTTCCTCTGCCTCTCCCCATCCCTCCCCTCTCCCTCCCTGTCCCCTGGCCTCCGGGCGACCGCGTCGAACAAAATTTATAATTGCTGCCCGGCAATTAACGCGCCGGCGAGGCAGGGGAGTCGATAAACGACCGATGGCTCCGGCCGCATACGTTTGTTCAATGAACGGTGCTCGCGCTCTTGGGACATGAAATTATGCAATTGTAATCTGCTCTCTCTTTTTCTCTCTCTCTTATCTCTTGTATATTTTTTTTTTCTTAAAAGAGATATGATTGAGTGCAATTACCTAAATGATATGGCATTGCAATACTAGACTTAAATTGTGTAAAGGAAAAGATAATGGATTATAAGAGGATTTTAATGATATGCGTTTGCTTCTATGTGATGATAATATTTGAGAATTAAATATGGAAATTTAAATATGCAAAATTTTGAATTATTAATGCAACAATATTAACGCTTTTCTGAAAATTTCCATGATTTTATAATTACTCATTATATAATAATAAATAATATTGTGTAACAATGTACCTGATGTTTTCGAAAAAACAATCAACTATGATAGCTTTTTCATAAATTATAACTTTCTTATTTTGTTTATTTTATCGAATTAAAAATAAAATTTTGTTTTTTTTTTAATAAATATGTACTTTATAATATATATGAGATTATTAATGTATGATTAATAATTCCATGGAATTTATTTCACAGACCAATCCCTGCAAGCATCCAATAATTTTTATGCGGGATGTTGAATTCGAACATCTACAATCACTATTGGAATTTATGTACGCTGGCGAGGTAAATATCTCGCAGGCAGAGTTACCTACATTTCTACGTACCGCTGAATCTCTTCAAATTCGTGGCCTCACCGACTCCCAAAGTAATCAGCACAACAACGAAAAGGTGTGTTTGGCATAAGTTTGCGCATACTTAGTAATCAAGTGTTGGAACTGCAATGTGTACTGTAATGGACAATTTTTAATAATTTGTAGCATTTGAAGACAAATAACATCCACGCATCAAATGGCCGTGATCTGATCTCGCCAAGCTTTGACGATGAACGCAGTAAATCTCCACCACCTTCAAGCCCTCCACCACTAAAAAGGCTGTGTAAAAGAAGTGATTCACCTCCAGTTTCTAGTCCAGCACCCCCTGTGCCGCCTTGTGCTACTATTGCACCACGTTCGCGCCCACTTATCGAGCCTCAAGTTCAGCTCGATTGTTATAAAGATCTCGATATTGTTGAGGTATCTTAAGTACTATACATTTGCATACTTTTGATACGTTTTGCGTATATATATAGATTTTCACATATCTATTATTAATGTGTACTTTTAGCCAAAAATAGAATTACCTGAATATGGCAGTGACGACGATTGCTCACCTAAACCGGAAGCCAATACATTGCCCAGTGGATTTCTCAGCTTGGATAGTGGTATGGAAGTGTTACCGTCTTATCCATCATCTTATCAAGGTAATTAATTTACCAAGATATTTTATTGAAAATTAAAAGTAAATATTCTGCAAAATCAATAAGTGAATTTTTAAGATATATATTTTAATCTCTTTTTTTTATATTTATTTGTTGAAAATATCAAATTACTGAAATTCACATTGTTTCTATTTTAGGAAACCAGAACGTAGAAGGAGGAATGCCAGGTCCATCACACGGGAGCACGGAATTAAATCAAGAACAGCAAGGTGAGTCAAAAATTTATTATTTCTTGGTAGTGCGAGCACCATTACAAACAGCAACAACCTAGCCATTACATCACAAATGTCAAATGTGAGTAGAAACAAGGAAGCAGAAAGGAATCTTGATGGTTTGAAATGGTAAGCTCGTGTGTAGCTCGGTAGGTCTTGGTAGGTGGTAGGAGACATTTGACACTCGGAGGCTGTAACAGGCCTGAGTCCACAGAGTGCAGTTTGCAGTTAAGCAGCTGTGTTGTATGAACGTTACCGAAATAGCCCGGAAACTTGAATCATTAACAATTAAGTCCTGCGTGTACATATTCAAAAACAGCCCCATTCCCCATTATGCTTTATAATCTTTTGTTTTCCTGCTTCACGTATATATATATATATATATATTAATGCGTATTACATACATATATACATACACTAGATGGCCCTGGTAAAAATGTTTAGCTCATTCATATAGAAAGAATAATTGCTTATTAAGAAGTTAACGCTCAGACAATACTGTCAACAAAGACTTTTAATCATTTGCTTTTTTGTTTACTAATTATACATGCCATATTTATATGTGACAAGTTTTTTAAATTGGCTTGTACATATACGCTTTGGATCGAATCAATGTAATATGATATGAGGTTAGTGTCATATTTTTTTATACATATTATAATTACATTAAAGTCTTTATTGATGAATAAACAAGTGAAAGTATAATACCTGAGAGAAGTATACCTATGATAACAATTGGTATAAAATTATTTTGGATTGTTATTTCCTTTTCTGATTATAACAAAACCAAATATAATATATATAATCAGAATCTACATTTATCTGTCAAATAATTTACGACTAGAGCTAATAATAATAAAAATTATTATGCTACCACATATCAAAATGAATTACGAATCTGTGTCTACGTGTTTGTAACAATATATCTAATTTTCTATTTAGAAATATCATGTCTATACGTAATAGAAAAAAAAAGTAAAAAGATGTGCAATATAAACATACAAAACAAGACTTTCACTAATTTACTGGTACTCATTATTCATCGATTCATGCTTACCATTGTTTTCAAACTATATGTTTTTTCTTACTGCATTACCATTGTTTTGTCTGCCAAACATATTTGACTCATCGCATCCTTGCAAGTGATACTCTCTTGCGGGAGGATCCTTTTTGTAACTGTACCGTGCAGGCAGCAAAAATTGGGTAGCGCTAAATAGGGTTGTTTGCTGGTTGTTGCTGTCCTGTGGTGGGTGGTATCATTCTGATATTATACGTGGTGTGACGTAAGGCGTGGTGCTATGCTGTGGTAACGTGCAATGCTGTGGGCTGCTACCGGTTAGAGCAAGTTGTGTGTGTGTTGCAGCTGACCTGCGTAAACTGCACTCGCTGGACCCACGCCCCTGTCCTGTGTGCAACCGCATGTACAGTAACTTGTCCAACCTGCGGCAGCACATGCGCCTCATCCACAACCCTCAGAGTGTCACTTGCCCTCTATGTAACAAGCCATTCAAGACCAAGCTGTACCTGAAGCGTCACCTGGTCAGTTTCCACGAACTCAGTGTGGCAGACAGACAACGTCAGGAAGAGATCTACCAACATCAAGTTAAGGTTCAGGTCCAAGGGCAAGGCCAGGGCCAGGGCCAGGGACAGGGACAAACGCAGGTTCAGGGAGGAGCTCAAGCTCAGACCCAAACACAAGTTCAGGCTCAAACACAAGCTCAGATTCAAGCTCAGACTCAGGTGGATAATAAGGTGCTTTTAGCAGCTCCTACCCCACCTGCTTCTCGGGGTACTCCCCCCGAGGAAGGTGGGGCTGGCGGTGGTGGGAGCACCGCAGAACCAAAGCTCAGATCGTATCAGGCACAAGCTGGCGATAATGCTTATCCGGTAGAGGTAGCGCAGATTGGTGATTCAAAGCATTTTGCTAGTGGGATGTTGCAATTCGATGCTACGTATCACTAATGTGTGTACAGGATTTTATTTATTTTTTAATCTATCGCGCCCAGTATCATTTTGTGATATAGTAACGAATCGAGTTTATCTTTATTGTTTAGTGAACTTGTGATTCAATAGGAAACGTATCTTCGTAGTTGATCGACAAGTAGGTAGAAATAACGTTATGACACAAGGCTGATTCCGTATATTTAATAATCAGATCCTGCGCGCGCGCGCACTCAAGGTGCGCGCAGGTGTATAACTTATAATTTTTAATCTTTTGAAATATGCGTATGCAATTCTTGTCGCACGAACACGAGTGGAGGACAAGATGTCAAATCCGATTGACGGTCGCGTACTTGATTGTTTTCGTCCGTAATAAGACGCCTACATAGATCATTCGAATGATCATTCATACGAAGGTCGACAGTGTGTATATAGGTTTGGGAGACTAGTTTACATATAAAAGTCCCGTGCCTATTCATCGTAAAGATGAACGCTGATGAGGGAGAGAACGACTAAAAATGCCGATGGTGGAGCAGCCATCCCACCTCGTACTGATAATTCTGCAGCCGGATACTTGTTGTTTTATTTAATGCTATACAGTGTTATACAGACTACAGATATTTACTACAATATTATATTCTTACAGAGGATTATATTTACTTTATTATTGCAACGCAATGTGCAATGACATAGCTCGTACATGATATATTTTTCACATGCATACATTGCAATATACAGCCAATTGACAGCTCAACAGAGTAATAATATTTATTATTAACAGTTATCAACAAACCGTGATCGCAATAATGCAGCAGATTGAATTTAACAATATATAATAAGAAGGCAATGTCTCTGCTGGTTTCTTGTTTCTGTGTGTGGAAGGCTTGTCTCTCAAGTACTTCTACCTCAATGGTACATATACCTATTTATAGAAATAGCACAAGAATGATTATTTCATTCTTTATTTCTATACACAGAGATTGTAATACTCTCATGATATTTAATATGATATTATTTAATATGTGAGTCATACTTTTGGTTTTTAATTTATTAATCGGGAGATATATTTTTTCAATCAAAGTATTTTAAATTTTAAATCAGTAGTATTTATCAAGAAACGTTTTTCGCATTCATACATGTAGCAGTAACTTTGTAAGTAGGACGCTACATACACGCTTCCTTTACAGGAAGGAAAAGGCTTTTTTGAAAATAGTACTATATTTTTTATATCTTTTTGTAAATTTGGTATTAATATGCATTTGTTGTAGTCTCAATAATTTTTGTTTTCTACGATCGATAGTCAATACGTCAATTTCCTGTCACATGCAACTTGTTTCTGTTATCTTTAATGAGATATTCAGTTTCAGCTGTCTATAAAAGTAAACCAGCATAGATATCTGCCACACAATTCCATAGCCATAGTACCACACAGTACAACTCAGGATCTTTTATATTATATTTTACAGATGACAATAGTTCCATAAGTACGATTTATAATAGCGATTCTAGGAAATGGGGCACAGAGAATATGTTCCCTAGAATCGTAACTTTTTAAGTCGTACCATTCATATGAACAGGCTCCTTACCTCACATACAATCAAATTACTAAACAGATGCAGCTATATATTATTGTAATATATTTACATACAACAACTTACAATAGTACTGGGACGTTGCAACGACTGCAACTAACACAGATTTACCGATATTATACAAACGGTTTTTATTATCTGTTATTACATTGGTAAGCGATTGCAATGTTTTTTTACAAGTTAAACGTACTACGAATATACATTCAAGATTTTTCTTTACAAGATATGAATGGATGCCCAGCACAACTGACAATTAGTACCGAAATAAGATTAGATTATAAATGTTGCATATCATATTATAATATTGTTATACATTTGCCAAGCAGTGTTACATTCATCAACTCTCAGGCTTCGGATCATACACGGATTTCATTTTGCTTCTTTCGATAAGAAATAGTATTTCTTATAATATATCTTTTTATTACAATATCATGTATATAATATACATTATGATTTTATATATATATATATATATATATATATGCATATATGTATATGTAATACATAATATATATTATATTTAACTATATATATTATATATAATGTATAATATTATATTATATGTAATGTATATATAATTATATAGATGGTAATCCAACTATTAATTTATATAATATAATATTTTATAGAACAAGAGAGAAAGACAGATATTTTTTCTACATTATTTGATAAAGTATCATATTTCTCGTTTTATTACTAGCTCGCTTTTTTTATGTTAGCAGTAAGCAATCCACGATAGATATTATTTATATTATTAAGCTACTTTTGACATTTTATATTTGCTTTTAATTATTTTGGTATCTACTCGATCCTTTGCCTGAGATCCATATACTGTGTATATCAGAGTGATGTGTTACAGAATGTCACATAATAGTAAGCATCATTTGACAGGCCGGACTTCGCTGGGCATTAAAAACCGGTTACCTAGCTAATATCACAATACAATTTTGAACACTCACTGTTATAATTGCGATTATAATTACGAATTCAAATGGTGTGCAAACATTCCGCAGCACGGAGACAGCAGAGAACAGAAAATAAGAAAAGTAAAAAAAAAAAAAAAGAATAGAAAGAGAGAAAGCAAAAGAGAAAGGGAACGATGATATTATCGTTTGAGAAACGAGCACACTTACAGCTAATAGAAGAAAACTCGCAAAGAATTTTTGCATAGTATTTTTTTGGGTCTAACAATACAATTTACCGTATATTAAATGAGAAGAGATATTGACGACATACGCGTACACGTATGTCGTGCGAGGTATTTCTTAGTGATGAAATGCAAACAGTACTTGCCACTTTTCCAAAAGAACTCGATGAGTAGGTACAGCAAGCTCACTGGAAAAAAAAAAAGTATCTTTTGTCTGCGATAATAAGTTTTAACTTCATTCCTACTGCGATTTTAGCATTTGTATCATGCGATTTGTTACGATTATTATTGCTATTACAATAACTACTACCGCTATTATTACCAATATCAATACCACCACTACTACTACTATTACTACTACTATTACTCTTACTACTACTATTACTACTGTCCTACTACAATTACTATTATTATCGCCGTTGATTAAAAACTTTGGACGCATATGTGTATTGTCTCGAGGATGCTTTATGTTCGAAAGAGATGTATATTGGTTTCCTGCGTCGCGCGTTGCGGCGTGCGTCGCATTTCTCGAACATAAAAAACATTATCTTTTAGCGCATTTAATTATATGTTGTATATATGTAAATTATTATGTAATTTGTATGCGCACCACAAAAAAAAAAAGGTAACTCGTGTATTCGATCGCTAGCTGTTACTAATATAGATGTAGCTGTAAGGAGTATTACTTTGATGGAAGGTGGTAGAAGGTTTCTCTTTTAAACGATGGACATCTTCCTATCTTTTTGTTCGCAGTATTGCAAAACGTATTTTGCAACTGCAATTTGATCTATATTATTATTTACTCAGTAATTCAAAATGAAAAATTTAATTCTAGTCATCAAAAACGACTTTTATGCATTCGATGAAATTTGTGTTATTATTTGGAATTGTGGTCGTTGTCAGTATTAATATTTTAGAATTAATATCAAAATTGAAAGAGAGATTGATAGTATTAAAATACTTTAAAAGAATATTTTTTGGGGAAATATTTGTTTTGTATTGTATTTTATCTAGGGAAAGTATTTTTTTCGAAAATATTTTTAACGGACTGTTGTTTTTAAGATGAGTTTAAGATTTGACATTTTATGTGTTTCTAATATATTTTGTAGGTATATTTCCAAGTAATATATATGTTATAATTTAAGAAAATGAGCCCAGTGTGCAAGAATACTTGGTACTTAATATTTTTAATTATCTTGTTATGATTATTATTTTATGGCAAAATCGTATTATTAATGCTTAAAATAATTTCTTAATGTTGCATCCTATGCATCTCCTATGTTGATATATGATATTGATATAAATTCTTAGGTAGAATTTTATGCACGAGCGTAATAAAACTATTTTTAAAATAAGACTATTGACCTATTGAGGAAAAAAGATTGAAGAAAATGCTATTTAAATTACGATAATATTATAAATATACACAAAAAAAAAAGATATCGCGTGATGTCTTCGTTCGAATGAGAAACCGCATTTTTTTAACGCAATATAATCGACATAATTTTTTATCTAAATTCTGTTTCCGATCGTCATGTCGATCCTTTACGAGTGTACTTTTTCAAAAATATATAAGCTTAAGAGGATAGAGTTAGATTTTAGTACGCTCGAGAGGCAAAAGTGCGAAATTTTCGATGTAAATAGCGGCAATTTTTCCAATATGACCGTATCGAGGAATATTTCGCTTCTAAAGTAGTCACACGCTAATATTTAAGTATGATATTTATTCGAATCATGGCGTATCCGAAGTAAGTTATTCTCTAAGTAAACGGGTAGGTCAATAGCGTCTCGTGCTATCCCACGTATAATTATATAACGGCAATTGCATTGCAAAAGTATACATACGACTGATTTTCGACGAGTGCGAGTGTGAGTGCGCAGCATGTACTGAATTAAGGCGTATAAGAAAGATGAAAGGGGAAAGAAGAAGTGAAGTACAGTAGCTTGTACTTGGCGGAATTTCTGAACAGATAATTGATGAGAAAATTCGTATCGGCTTCCTCTTTGCCACGCGTGAAAGAAAAAAATAACGATATCACATATATGCGATAACGACCTACCGAGGTTCTCGATAGAAACTTCAAGATACACAAGAAAAGTTGAATTCACAGTATATTTATAAAAGAATAAATTTTTCCTGTTTGCGCAACTTTTTGAAATCTAAAAATTATAAATTAACGTGTATAGGTTCAGACGATATAAAATTGATCAAAATATTAATAGTGAAAGGATCCAAGCTAGATGTTCGTACCATTTAAATAAAATTGATTAATATAAACATTCAAATAAACAAAAATTGTAAACGTTTTGATCTTTAATATGGTCGTCATCGATGATCTTAAAATGGAAAACGATTACCAAACTTTAACGAAAATACATAAAGAGAATTTTTTTTAAATTTAATCAGATAAGATTTCTCAATTTTTAATCATTCTAGTCACTTCTGTATTATATCACTTAAAATTTCTAATTCTAGAAGTCATATAATATAGAATATGATTTTTTATTTACTATTTCTTTAGATTCAGATAAATTTTTTACCGCAATTTGAGTGAATGATGAAAATTTAAGTAGCATAAGAATTCAACAATTGAGAATAAATACAGCTCTTGCTAGTTCCTGTCGGGACACTCGTTAGGTGTGACAATTTTGTAGCGACAAAACTGATAGAATAAAAAAAAAATCGATGAAGTGCTCTTTTTAGGCTGATCGTGTGGGTTCTACGAAAGTGACTTATTATTGGCTTAATGTAAACGCGACGGAAGTTGGTGGAAGAAAGTGCAAATTCTCCGATTTACGCTTTAAGATATAGATCTTCTTCTTGTTTTCAATAAGCAATTATCTGGACAGAATGAGCTCTGCATCAAAAAAGAAAAAGAAAAAAAGAACTCGAATTCATAATGCTACATTTACCGAGAGATGTATATTTTACTTTCGGCTAACGTTCCCACTAAATATTTTCTCCGTAAGAATTTGATACGCCACGATAATTTATTTATTATAACTATGCGAACACTGCGTTATATTTAAACTGACTTAGCAGTCAGGTGATGGGCGCAAAGTGGTTTGACTGTATTTGGATACATGTGCAGACGTTACAAATTTGAATCTGTGTTTTTATTACGGAAACAATTTAGATATTTTTGCAAATTTGAGGCTACGTATCGTAAAAGAAACTAAGAGAATATAATATATTAGACAATATGTAACTTTTACTTCCAATAATACGATAAATAATTTTGATCAATTTTTACGTATTAATTACATAAATGTGCCGATAGCGACATAACTTTCAGATGTAATCTCTGTATTTTTCTATGATATACGTCATTTTGCTCGCGTAAATTTCTTTCTTATTTCACACATCAGATACGATTTTCATTAGGAAACGTCTATATAGAAGTAGTTACATGTACAAAAACTGCATTCGTGCGCATGTATCCGAGGCCCAACACTACAAGTAGCTTAAGCATCGTTGAGCTTGCATCAAGTACGCTTGCAATTTCCTGCACATACGCTGCACTTAATTTATCGGAGATTATCTGGAGCAAGACTTGAACCTTTGTGCATAGATGTGTGCCGCGATACGCGATTTAATTTATCATTACGCAATTATTGCGAGGGAAGGATCCTTGTGACTGTTGATTTCTAAACAGATGAAGTTGTACAGAGACTACCTCCATTAATTCCCCCCCCCCCCCGATTTCGTTATACGTTATAAATAGCTTTTTACGTTACTCCTTAAGTTCTAACATTATGTTATCACGAGATCGCAAGGGAAAATTTTTAAGTGCATATTCGGAAGGGTTAGTGCAAAACGTGATATTTGCGAAGATGAATAGTATTATGTGTTGCCGTCCATTGTTTTATATGATAGAGTGATTTAATTTATTTTCACTTTCACTGACGTTATTTTTACGAAATTTTTCAATACATATACATACATACCGATCTAACACGATTTATTGTTAATTTCAATTTCCACAGATATACTTAAAAAAAAAAAACTATCGTATCGTATGGCATAAATCGAAAAGTTTATATTCCGAGCGGCGTATGATTGTCTTTTTATCGGCATGTGAATTAATAGAATAAATATTTAGTTTTAAATTGAAACGATTTTAAAATATTTGAATCGAGTATTTATATACTATCTTCAAAAAACACGTGTTGACTACGTGGCCAGCTTTAATTATCTCGATCCTATTTGTTGCTCGATTATTTGCAACAGAAAATGATTTTGTTTTGGATTCTAAAAGTTTATTAAAAAAAAAAAAAATGCACAAACGGTTACCTCGAAGAAAGCTTGCG